GATTTACCTGAGGAAAAGCTCGAGGATCCAACAAAAAACAGATCTTGAAGGAAGCTCGAACCACGTGCTCGAGGGGCCTGAGAGAAATTTTATATATAGAAATTTTGAGGGATTTTTCAGTCTAAGACCAAGAGGAAAGGTAGATCTAAGACAAATTTGAAGGTTTGAAGGAGAAAAGATGCACGAGGGAAGAGAAAAATCCAAAATAGGGAGAAAGGGGGGCCGGCCCTAGAGAGGGGAAAAGGGGTTCTTTTATAGTGATGAACCAGCCTTAAACCGGACCAGACCAGGTTGAACCAGTCCTGAACCAGTCCTGAACCAGTCTTGAACCAGGTTGAACCAGTTCTGAACCAGTTTGAACCAGATTTGAACCAAAATTCAAATTGGAGCTGAACCGAGTGTCGAAATGACTTCAAATCGACCGACGGTTTAGTCCCTTTTTTATTCATTCCTCTCCCATATATTCGGAAGGGTCGAAAAATTTTTTGAGCCTAATTACTACCTTTTTTGGGTCATTATCAGGCCGGTTCAGCTCATTCTTAGTACTCCAATAAGGTATACGAGTATAAACTATTCCCTATTTTTATTGAGAAGTTTCTGGAGAGTATTTTTCTAAAAAATATTCTTAAGGATAACTCAACAACACTCCGAAAAGTATAAGAGTATAAACTACTTCTCAAGACTCCAGTAGACATACGAGTATAAACTGTGTCAAACGCCGGACAACGCGTTACCAACAATCGATGGTCAGTTCTATGTTGAAACAACAAACACGAGCTAAAAATCAGAAAATCAGGAATTGACTTCGAGTTCAAAATTCCGACAACGGTCAGACAATAAATGCAGCATCGGAACCCTTGCAGACATTCGACAAAGCACCGAATAACCTGGAGGATTGAAGGAATTAAGAATAGAAGCCATTCCAAAGTCCCGTTACACCGACTGAAGGTTGGGACAATCATATCCAAAGTATTCCAGACTCTTCTATAAAAGAATGAGGCTGAAATACTTTGGAGGGGGTATCTGTAGGAGTATAAAACTGCTTATAGGTCCCTTAACACAGCTCGGCACAGTGATTCGACAAACCAACGAACCATCGGGCGATATATACAAGCATGATCGTTAAACAACAACATCAAAGTGGATTTACTGCCAAATCAGGATCCGGACTGTCAAATCAGAGTCCAGATTAACAATGAAGTTCGGATAAACCGCGAAACCGGAAAACGGCACAAAACCAAACACCGGGAGGGCTCGACCAAAACCGAGCCACCTCTAGGTGGCTCGGCCGAGCCACCTAGGTGGCCGAGCCACCTAGGTGGCCGAGCCACCTGGCCGAGCCACGGATCTGGGCCCAGATCTGGACCCAGATCCGGTTTCAAATGCCTATAAATAGACATGAGGGCTCATTGTTTTGGGAGGTTGGAACTTTTTGAGGCGAAACTCTGCTGGATTGAGAGCTCAACTTCGGAGTTTTGAAGACTTGGAAGACTTGGACTTTTTCAGATCTAGTTCTTGGCAATCATCCACGTCAAACAAGGCAGGAGTTCGAGGGAGATCAGATCTGAGATCCACACGGTTATCCTCCGGATCAAAACTTGGTTTTTGATCCCGAGAAGAGTATTGATTTCGCTTGGTTGATTTCGATTACTTAGGGCTATTATTTCCTTGGCAAAAAATCCCCTCGGCTGTTATTTCCTTCGTGAAATAGCACCCGTCATACCGTGTAGATCCGACCGGATCAAGATCGCGCTGTGGTCTACGGATTAACCTCGGCGCAGGCAAAGAACCCACACAAGCAAGAGACCGTAAAACAGGATCTTGCGATTTGTTCAAAAAAGGAAAGTTGTAATCTTCTTTTTTTTAGATTTTATTGTAACCGGATCTTATAAAAAGACCGGATCCCTTTGTAACCGATAAACAGTTGCTAATGGAAACAATGAAATCAGAGAAGGCAATTTTTCCCGCGAACACACATACCTTCACGAATACACAAGTACAATATCATTACACACATAGATTACCCGAAGGGGATTATGATGAGTTTATCTGTTTACACTTGAGATAGAATATCATTATACAGTTATACACATATGTGGATATCGGTGATGAGCTCCGCTCAGTACTACTTGTCATAGTGCGTCGATATACCCTTCATACAGGCCATTGAGTCGGATCTTAGGATGCTTAATCTAGCAGTCCGTCCCGCACTAGGGTGCGATGAGGCTTGTAAGCCGTATTTCTAGGATGCCTATTTGGTAGTCCGTCCCGCATTCATGTTCCGTACAGAGATGCGATGAGACTAATGAGCTGTGTATGCTGTTTTAGAATACATACAGGGTCGTCTGTTGCACGCGAGCGTGCGAAGATGTCAATGAACCTATACATATTTGTTTATCCGCACGAATATGCGCAGAGGTCGATGTACCTATATTATTGTTTCTGCATGTTTATGTGTAGAGGTCGATGAACCTATGTTTTCAGTTCCACCTAGTTTGTATAGAAATCAGTATACTTATCCTATAGATTTACACGAGGATGTGATATGTTGAGAAACTATAGATAATATTTGAATCTACTGAGTACTTGGCGGATGCCAAAGGCGACTTCGACTAATTGTCGCAACTACCCGCGTCTGTTTGAGCAGGTAAATTAATTTGATTATGATTCACTTATGATTTATGATTATCTGCAGGTCATATTTATATTTAACGTTAGAATGAGAATATTAACACTTAACTCCTAATCATTCAGAATACATGGTATATATATGGGGGGTTCCTTGTTTGGATTTTTTTTCGCCCGACGTACTATTTCCGTTTAGTTAGGGGTTAAATTGAGGTATTTGCATTCTAAATTGTTAACTATAGATATTGTTATGTTCATACCTGAAGATTAATGGTACGAGACGTGTATATGAGGGTTTTATTATCCCCTTAACGTGTTTTCTGGTATTATTAATCTCTAGGATACAATTGCGGAATTTCGAGGACGAAATTCTTTTAAGGGGGGAAGAATGTAAAACCCCGAAAATTTGAATATATTATGATAAATAATAATAAAAATATTGAATGATGATAAATATCATATTTTGAAATTTGAGTATGCTAGGAATGTATTTGAGATCAATTCAATATATATATGTGAATATACGAGTACAAATACATAAAATCACGCACATGACCAGTTAAGAGTTATGCGTGATACACATTGATATATTTATAATATGTAAAAAAAAACTCAAAAGACCAAGTTGTAGGTCTCTTCGACAGCTTTCCAACAAATCTTAAATCACCTCATTCCGAGGTCGGATAAGAAACATATAGCTAAAATACATAACATATACGTGTATCAAATACTATAGCGGAATTTAATGTGTGTGTAGTACTGTAGCAAAACGAAAATCTCTTCGGCGTTGTAGCACGAGATACTGTAGTAACATTGTAGCTGTTTGGGCTGTAGCACAAACGCGCAGCAATTTTGTAAAAAACGCAAATCACTGTAGTACCGTACTGTAGCTAGGCCAAAGTTTCTCTATGCTGTAGCAGATTGATTTTTTTTTAGGTGTTCAAGTGTAAAGTATTGTAGCTAAGATATTCAATCTCTATGCTGTAGCAGATTGATTTTTTTTTAGGTGTTCAAGTGTAAAGTATTGTAGCTAAGATATTCAAATCGTGGTAGCACTTAGCAAAATTACTGTTTAGGTGTTCAAGTGTAAAGTATTGTAGCTAAGATATTCAAATCGTGGTAGCACTTAGCAAAATTACTGTACACGCGACCGGAGAATACTGTAGCTGAATTTTATAAATGTAGCTTTTATTTATATTATTGTCGTCGTCGAAAAACTCTGCATTTTCTGAGCGCGATCGACGTTGAGCGGCGGTGCGGGGGTGTTGGCGTACCTCATTAGCGTAATTTGTGGATTAATTTGTACCTGACAATAAAAACAAATGCATATAATTTTCTTTCTTCTTTTTGATGGAGAAGAAAAAAAAGAGAGAAGAAGAAGATGGCAGAACCTTAAATAAATTGGGAGTTACAGAAGAAAAAAAAAAGGGTGGGAGGAGCTCCTTTTCTCTAAGGGGATCCTGTCAAAGAAAAATAACTCTCAAACCTTATATCTTTCCAACCCCTCCACAATAATCCCTACCTCCTCTCAAACTTTCCTGTAAATATTTTGTGTTCTCATGTGATGTTGAGGAGAGGAAATAGTGTTTTCCTGTGCCAATGGTGAAGAAGAAAGAGAGGGTTCGATCACAATTCAGGAGGATCTCGTACAAACGCTTTTCAATACAGCGTTTAGGCAAGATTTCTTTCATCCAAACCTCTCCTTATAGTTAGTTGAAATTTCAAGAAGTCTAAGGATGATATTGTTCTTGTCTAAGCTTACTGTTGTTTTAAAACAAATTAGTTTTTGATGATAATATAAAATCCAAATAATTGGCATAATAATAAGACATATATAAAAGTTTGCATATTCTGAATCCAAATAAGTCAATTATTGTGTCATACGCATTATTCAGTCTCAAGAAAATCTCAACCTCAAGTGACTAAAGAACCGACTCCAGCAAATCTCAAGCTCAAGTGATTGAAGAACTGATTGGTCACCGAACCATAAATCCATCAACCTGACCAACTGAAGACTTCCATGCCAAATAATTGTCCAGTGACAAGAGCTGATCGGAACACTTGACTTTTTTGCCCCCCTTTAATCATGCTTCTAGGATAATTCAAAGCACATCAAAGTTTATAAATGAAATGTAAAGTAGTTTCCATCATCAATAGAGAGACGGCATTATTTATGTGAGTCTTCGCTCTCAATGAATACTAATTCTTAATGAATTGAGTTAACCTGTACTAATCAAATTTTGCATTGATAATGCTTTGCATATGGTAGGTCTCGTAGGTCTACATAAAAGACAACCAGCACCAACATTTTAAATAAAATCAACAACGACTAGCACACAAAAGAAGTGAATAGATAAGAACAAACAAGATGGTTAGTGCAAGCAAAAAGCAAATTATTTCATCCAGCTCCACTTGATTGTTTGATTAGACAAACTATATACATGTCATAATCCTCTAAAGAAAAAGAAAGTACTCAGTGACATAAGCAAAGTATTTGTATAATCTCTCTTGCAAAACCTAGAATTTTGGTAGATGCTTCAAAGTTGTGATGAAGGTGGAGGGATAAAAAAAAAAATTCACACTACGGTATACGCACTTCATAGTTTGCGCTCTCAATCAGCAGCAAAACCTGAAAAAGATGATAAGAGCAAAGAAAGATTGAGATCAAGTCTGCTGAATAGAACAACAGGAAACAGATAACCATTTCAAAGATTCATACATTATTCTCTCAAGCCAAAAAGTTTAGAAACCCTACGTCACACTGGTGAAGATCTCTAGCAAAACTTGCAAACAACATTTTCTTCCAATTTGATGAAAATGAGCAACCCCCAATAAACTTTACAACAAGGAAATTACATAAACACATTCACCATGGTTTAATTCCTAGTTTTGATTTCAACCATAAGGAAAGGAGAGGTAGACAGAAGCCAAGAACTGAGCTTGTGCTAGAGAGTTACAGAATTATCCATCGGCAAGCAATCTTCTATCCCTTCGTCGAAAAGCATCTCTTGGTATCGGCATTCATGGCTACAGAAGGCTTTCTCCCCTCTGGATGAAAGAAGAAAACACCATTATGAGAAGCTTTGAATTGAGAAGGATTTGGGATTTTGAAAGAAAAGCTTGCTATTGAAATTATTGTGCGCAGGAGCAAGATTCAATAATAGAGTCATGTTTTAAATCAAATTAGTTTTTGATGATAATATAAAATCCAAATATATATATATATATATATATTCGAACAGTAGTTTATTCACTGTTGATATTAGATCATGATCATTAGGGCGAAGACTATTTTCGTTGCTAATTCATTTATCATGTTTAAATCATGTTGAAATCTTAGAGAAATGATTAATCAATTTTTTTCGTGATTATTAATGATGCTAAAATTCAGGATCTGTGATTTTCTTCCAAATTAAATGTATTTTTGTTAGCTGAATTTCACCTCTGTGTTTGGTGTAAATCTCCTCATGGATAAATAATCACTTTGATAATTAATCATGAATAATTAATCACTTGAATAATTTATATGTAAATTAATTGATTAATCGTGATGCTAAATTCTAATTTGATTTACCCTAAAAGTTCATTTATTTACAAATATAATTATATTGCTAAGTGGGAATTGTTGAAATCCAAAAGTCATTTTGTGGAAACCTAAAAGACAAAATGAATGTGGACATTACTTTATTAATGTGGAATATTTATTGGTGACTTTTCATTAGTCCAATGTCTTTTTATTTTCCACAATGTATCTATAAATTGGTGGATGTATGGAAAAAGGAAAATATAGGAAAATTACAATTTATCTTATTCTTTTGTCTCTTGTCCATCTTTCGTTTCATTTCTTTAGTATATTACAACACGTTATCAGCACGAGTGGCTCTAGCTGGTTCGTGATCATCGGTTCGTGGTAATAGATTTTTCAATATATATCTTTTGCAAGGTAATAATACATTTGACCTTTGTCTATTTACAAAGTTTCATGTTTTCGTTATCGATTATGCCTCTATAACAGTATGTTACTATTCACTATTCAAGCATAAGAATGTAATGATGATTGGCATGATATTTTGTTTATTTTGTGGTGCGATGTATTCACTATTCAAGCATAAGAATGTAATGATGATTGGCATGATATTTTGTTTATTTTGTGGTGCGATGTGTTTCCTTACTTATCTGCATTTCATGAGCACATTTGCTGATTTTCTTTTGCTCCATGGATTGGAAAGTTCTCTCAAAATATTAGCTGACTATTTGACCATCTTGTCCCCCTCTCTCCCATTGCTGTTGTTTCATTAAAACGGGATTAGTTATGAAGCACAAGGCTTAGGAGATATTGATAGACTTGTAAGGTGTCAACCTGATATCGACCTGTCCTCTTAAGTTTCTGCCAAGTTCTCAGGCATGGAAACTATTGACAGAAACTGAGGAGGCTTTTTGGCAGACAGAAAGAAAACCTACTTTGATGGTGACACTGTTTCAGCTAGTTTAAGTTCGCACAACTAGAGAGCAAGACTTCAAAATTTTCTGAGCCCAAGACTCTAGGAGGTAATGACATTTGCTGTAAGAAACCATAGAACCAACAGAAATTTCTATTTTATATTATTGCTTTTCACTTATATGACATAAGTAGATTCAAGAAGGAACCTTAAGCTGAACGTTCATCAGCAATCATTTTTGTGGGTAGAAGTGTAAGCATTTCATCTTTATCATTTAATATCCAATGTCTTACCGAATAAAATGGTATAGCATGTTGATTATGTTTATTTTACTAAGAAAAATCATGTCTTGAGGAACCTTAGACTTAAAATATGACATTGTACCTTGTCTTAAATCTGTTATTGTTTACTTCTTTCTTAGTATGATGTAGCTTTATTTAAACGAGTACGTTACACAATCTTATGCACAATCACAGCAAGCTTTTTGAACTCTATAGTAAATTCTGTAAAGTGAATGAATATTCAGCTTTAGCAAAAATGAAGCGGCATGCATTGTAACTAATGATTTGTTTATTCACTTATGTTTGTATGCACAATTTGTATAGTGCAATATTTTATAAATTTGGTGGATTGATATCTTTTTTTTTGATAATTATAGCATTTCTGAACAATGTCTGACATCATCAAAAGGGAATTTGCTGAGCTTGCCGTTGATGGCAGCAATTACTTGACTTGGGCTTTAGATGTTGAAATCTACCTGAATTCTTGTGATTTAAGCAACACTATTGCTCCAGCTTCTCAGAGCACCTCTGCCCAGAAGGCAAAGGCATTGATTTTTCTTCGTCATCATCTCAACAAAGACCTAAAAAATGAGTACCTTACTAAAAAAGATCCTACTGTTCTATGGCAATCCCTGAAGGATCGCTTTGACCAACAGACGGCTATTATGCTTCCGCAAGCACAGTATGATTGGTTAAACTTGCGATTTCAGGATTTTAAATCCGTAACTGAATACAATTCAACCCTCCACCGCATTGTCTCACAGCTGAAGCTCTGTAAGCAGAACATTACAGAGGCTGAATTGATTGAAAAGACCCTCTCTACATTCCATGCAAGTAATCTTGTACTCCAGCAGCAGTACAGGACCAAAAACTATTCAAAACACTCTGAATTGATCTCTGCGTTACTAGTTGCAGAGAAACACAACCAACTTCTGATGCGCAACCATAATGCTAGACAAGTTGGTTCGCTAGCTGTGCCTGAAGCACATGCCACAAATCAGAGTAATACTCATAGGCGTGGACGTGGTAGAGGTCGTGGACATGATCGCGGGTCTTATCGTGGTGGTAGGGGTCGTGGTCGTCGCAATGCTAATAGTCTTCAAGATCGTAACAAGGGTCAGAACAAGGATAAACCTCATTCACACAAGCCTAGCTCTCATCAACAGGTTACAAATAACAAACAAGCTTGTTATCAGTGTGGATGTGAGGACCACTGGTCTCGCACATGTCGTACACCGAAACATTTGGTTGAGGCATATCAGAGAATGCTGAAGGACTCAAAGGGGAAGTCAAAACATGGTGAAACACATCATGCCAGTTTGCCTGAAGCAAACATGACCCTGAAAGATGACAATTATGATGATAATCTGTTGAAGATGGGAGATATGAATATGGACGATGATGACTTATTGAAGATGGAGCTTGATGATTTTGGTGACCAGGAGTGATCATGTTATGCATGTTTTATTAGTCTATTTTAGTTTTTCAAGACTTGTTCTAGTTGTTTGTATTCTCACTAGGCTTATTTTACATGTTTTTCGTAAGAAAATTTTAATTTTGAATGGGTTTATTTAAATTATTATGTCTTTACCTTGTTTTTGTGCTTATATGAATTTTTCAATTTTTAGAATAGTGCACAACTTTCCTCGCGTACAACCCATGGAGAAGGAGACAATTTTGTGCTTGGTAGATAGTGCTACCACACATACTATCCTAAAAGATAGAAAATTCTTCCAAACTTTGACTGAAAAACAAGGAAGTGTAACCACCATTGCTAACGACAATGTGTTGATAGTAGGCTCCGGCAGAGCTTCACTAATACTTCCTATGGGTACGAAATTAATCATCAATGATGCATTATTATATCCAGAATCCAAACGTACCCTTCTTAGTTTTAAAGATATTCGGTCTAATGGTTTTCATATTGAAACCGAAAATGAGAATGGTGCTGAACATCTTCTCATGACTCAGTCAATTGGATGTCGGAAGCAAGTTGTAGAGAAGCTTCCATCTTTCTCCTCAGGATTGTACTACACATATATCCGACCTAGTACTAACCATGTTGCGATGAGTTTAAAATTTAAAGACCCAAATTCATTTAAATTATGGCATGAGCAATTGGGTCATCCTGGGCAAAATATGATGTGTCGGATAATCTTAAATTCAATTGGGCATAATATGGCAAGCAGCAATGTCCCCTCTTCTTTAGACTACATTTGTGAGTCTTGTGCTAAAGGAAAACTTACAGTACACCCTTCTCATACTAAAGTAAATGTTGAATCTCCCATTTTCCTTCAAAGGATTCAAGGAGATATCTGTGGACCTATTCATCCTACATCAAGACCATTTAGATACTTTATGGTCTTGATCAATGCCTCTACTCGATGGACTCATATCAGCTTGTTATCCACCCGTAATAATGCTTTTGCTAAATTAATAGCAAAAATCATTGAATTACGAGCTCAATTTCCTGATTTTCCAATTAAATCTATTCGTATGGATAATGCTGTCGAGTTCACATCCAAATCATTTGATGATTTTTGTATGGCATTGGGCATTAAAGTAGAGCATCCGGTTCCTTATGTCCACACTCAAAATGGTTTAGCAGAATCGTTAATTAAGAGAATCAAATTAATAGCTAGACCGTTATTACAAAATTCAAAACTACCTATTTCTTGTTGGGGACATGCCGTTTTACATGCTGCTGCGTTAATCCAAATCCGACCCACTGCATATCATGATTATTCCCCCTTACAACTAGTGCGTGGTAAAGAACCAAACATTTCCCATCTGCGTGTTTTCGGATGTGCAGTTTATGTTCCAATATCACCACCCAAGCGTACCTCTATGGGCCCTCAGCGAAAACTAGGTATATACATTGGTTATGAAACTCCGTCAATTATAAAATACCTAGAGCCCATGACAGGGGATCAATTTACTGCTTGGTACGCTGATTGCATATTCGATGAAGATCATTTCCCAACATTAGGGGGAGATAAACACCAAAAATTAAATGAATGTCGGGAAATATCGTGGTATGAAAAAGATCTTCAATATTTAGATCCACGAACTAGTCAGGCTGAACTCGAAGTTCAGAAGATAATTAATTTACAAAATTTGGCAAATAAGCTGCCAGACGCATTCACTGATCACAAAGGAGTGACCAAGTCCCATATTCCTGCTGTACGTTAAGGGAAATGGCGAGGATTTGGTTGACATAAAATAAGAATTAAAGTGGCCACGGATTTGTAAAAAATGAGAAATATATAATAGAAATATAAAAGTTGTCGACAACATAGTTGCCTCTACAGTTGCTCTTACTATCTCTGAAAATAATCTGGATCCAGAACCTAAGTCGGTAGCAGAGTGCTTGAAGCACTTAGACTAGGTGAGATGGAAAAGTGGCAATTAAGGCTGAGCTGAACTCGCTAAAGTA